GCCATCGAGCCCGAGCCCTGAGGTTCCCACGTTCCAAAAGAAACCGATAGGGCCGATGCCATTGGGATCGAATTTCAAGCTTTGCCGCGCGCATCGAGCTGAAAAAGCTCGTCACCTGGCCTGTGATTGGTGAGTCCATGGCTGGCACTGGAGTATGTGGCTTCAAGAGCTTCAAGAGCTTCAAGAGGTTCAAGAGCTTCAAGAGCTAGAGTTGTTTCAGGAAAGGAAAGTGGGCACCGCACCCGGGCCCACTGCCTGAGGCATGCGACAGGCATGATATCCCTAGGAGCTCTCCACATGCCACGGCCGCTGCTACACATGCAGGGGATTGCGCAGCCTCAACTGTCACTTGGCATCTCTGCCCCAGCCACCTCCAAGAGCACATGTCAAATTGTCCTGCGACACGCCTGACTAAAGCCATGCACTTTCAGATATGCTCGCGGAAGCCAAGCACGCGCATCGGCTGTGCAGATGTTTGATTTGCTTGGGTGTGTGACACACGTTCTTCTGGTCATGCAGGGCCATGTGCTTTGCCCGACAGCTTTCGGGCACAGCACGTTTCCAGAGCGCCCCAGCCCTTTCAGGTGATTCTTTCGCGTCACATGTCGCCTCCACATCATCAATCGACTTGCCTTGCCACGGCCTCGCCATTGTGCTGCCTGATGGATTCATTGTGCTGTTTGTTGGATTGCCAAGCGCAGCTTTTCTCAGATGACACCTTGTAACTTTGAGCTCCGAATCGTCGCATGTGTCCTTCACACGAATTTTCGATTGTATCCGTGGTTTTGCTGGCCAAGCCTCCGTCAAACGAGATGTTTCACGTGTTTTATGGCCGAGGCAACGCTCCACATTAAATACTTGGCCCCGAGCTTCAATTTGCATAGCTGCAAGCGCTCCGAAGAGATCCATCCGATCCATCCGATCCATCCGATCCATGCCATGAATTTTCCTTGCAGGCCGCGATGTCGAGAGCGGTGCATGTGCCTCGCCTCAAGACCGCGAAGCCGATGAGGAGATCTGGAATCACATGGAGGAAGTTGAGCTCAGGCCGGTTGCACTTGAGCACAGCCTCGAGCGGACCGATATCGCCGATGCTAATGGCACCGGTCAAGCAAGCTTTGGGTTTTCATCGCGTGGCCAGGGGCGGGGTAGACGCCTCAATAGCAATCCCAGGCCCTTCACTCTGTGCGTGAATCCAGGATTTGGCATAAACGTTTGGTCCACAGTGTATCACTCTTGTGCGTCTCAAGTGCCCGTTCGACGTGTGTTGTCAGCTAAAATTGGCTTCTTCTCGCAGATTGTTCAACCTTGTCTTGTTCGCTAGCAGTTGGTCCGTGCCACCGTACCCGCGCCCACTGCCTGAGGCATGCGACAGGCATGATATCCATAGGAGCTCTCCAGATGCCACGGCCGCTGCTACACATGCAGGGGATTGCGCAGCCTCAACTGTCACTTGGCATCTCTGCCCCAGCCACCTCCAAGAGCACATGTCAAATTGTCCTGCGACACGCCTGACTAAAGCCATGCACTTTCAGATATGCTCGCGGAAGCCAAGCACGCGCATCGGCTGTGCAGATGTTTGATTTGCTTGGGTGTGTGACACACGTTCTTCTGGTCATGCAGGGCCATGTGCTTTGCCCGACAGCTTTCGGGCACAGCACGTTTCCAGAGGTCCCCAGCCCTTTCAGGTGATTCTTTCGCGTCGCATGTCGCCTCCACATTGTCAATTGACTTGCCCTGCCACGGCCTTGCCATTGTGCTGCCTGATGGATTCATTGTGCTGTTTGATGGATTGCCAAGCGCAGCAAGTGTCGCAAACGCGAACCACTTGCCCTTGGTGACCTGTATGTGATTCCAGTCTTAGCATTGTGGCAGACTTGGTGCCTGGGTTTGGATTGAGCTTGGCCCTTGAGTCTTATTCCCAGGAGCCATGCTGCTTGTTGCTATCCGGCCTTTGTGCTTGCTTGACATTTGCGCACCCACATGGCCCTGCAGCCATGCGAGGCCACCTCCAGGCTTGCAAGCCCTGCAGAGCAGGTTTGCACAGTTCAGCTTGTAGGTTGGCTGTGCCAAGCATGCATGACATGGAGCTTCAGCGATCATTAGTTCAAATCCAAGAAGCTCGCTATTCTGTGCAGAAAGGCTCTTGCCAGCGTGGCTGGCAGTATTCGTTGGATGAGTTCCGAAGCATCTAAGGAAGCCTCCAAACGTCGCAGACATTGGAAACCGCACTATTTGCCGTAAATCAGCCTCTTCCCAGCTCCAGCGTTTGTGCAGAGCCCACTGCACACGATGATATTCTGACACTGGCGGGGCAAAGCCACATTCTGTGTCGCGCATGTGACACAAGTTCCTGCCAAAGAAAGGTTGGTCTGGGCGCATCGGCCAGAGGCTTCACGGATGTGATTCAGTTTACTTGATGCAAAAGCATCGCCGTCACATGTGTGGCGCAGTTTTGGTGGGCATGGCAAGAAGATTTGCAACCCCAATGCCGCCCACATCAGGGTGTTGTCCGCCAGAGGACGGCCAGGAGTTGCCGGAACAACCGTGGCATCACTAGATGCCGCCTTGTAAGCTTGAGCACGGAGCAGTCATGGCAAAGAGACTTGGTGCCTGGGTTTGGATTGAGCTTGGCCCCCTTGAGTCTTGTTCCCAGGAGCCATGCTGCTTGTTGCTATCCGGCCTTTGTGCTTGCTTGACATTTGCGCACCCACATGGCCCTGCAGCCAAGCGAGGCCACCTCCAGGCTTGCAAGCCCTACAGAGCAGGTTTGCACAGTTCAGCTTGTAGGTTGGCTGTGCCAAGCATGCATGACATGGAGCTTCAGCGATCATTAGTTCAAATCCAAGAAGCTCGCTATTCTGTGCAGAAAGGCTCTTGCCAGCATGGCTGGCAGTATTCGTTGGATGAGTTCCGAAGCATCTAAGGAAGCCTCCAAACGTCGCAGACATTGGAAACCGCACTATTTGCCGTAAATCAGCCTCTTCCCAGCTCCAGCGCTTGTCGATTGTTCGGAGTTTAGGTAATGTGTTCAGACCCATGTCACCATGCGCAGAGGCTGCTGAAAACGATGCACTGTTGGCAGGCAGCTTGCCCAGATATGGCTTGGACTGCATGTTTTGTGGCAATTACTTACATCGCAAAAGTGTTCTCGAAGTATGGGGCAGCCAACAGTGATGTCAGCCAAGAGCCAGAATACTATGCCTGTTGAATCACGTGGATGTGAAACAGGCAAGTGTTGAGAAAACGGCTGCAAAACAGAGCTAGCTTGGCTGTTCAATCACAATATTCACTCTGGCTCGGTGTGGCAGAATCACTGTCTGGAGACTCTGCCAGCACAGAAAGCCTTAGGATTCAGACTTGAGACTGCACAGATGTCTTGATTTCAGATTCCTGCAAAGAACCCATCAGCAATCTGCGAGAACAAGGTTGGTCTGGGCGCATCGGGCAGAGGCTTCACAGATGTGATTCATTTTGCTTAATGCAAAAGCATCGCCGTCACATGTGTGGCGCAATTTTGGTGGACACGGCAAGAAGATTTGCATGCCCAATGCCGCCCACATCTGGGCGTTGTTGGTCAGAGGACGGCCAGGAGTTGCCGGAACAACTGTGGCATCACTAGATGCCGCCTTGTAAGCTTGAGCACGGAGCAGTCATGGCAAGCCTGGGGCCCCATTGATGGTGTGACTCATACGTGCCCGTGCAAGGATGGTGGGTGACTTCATAGACTGCTATCATCCGTGTTGCTTAGGGAAACTTCGTCCAGAAACCATTCGTGCTGCAAAAGTGCGCAGACTGCGGACTGTTTAAAGCCGAGTGTAGACGGGGCGGACTTGGTTGTTGTGGTGCTCTGCCTGCGCTATCTGGGCAAGTCGCGGAAACAACTCTTACACCTACAGTCGCTGACTGGTCAATTTGGGAGGCAGCAAATATGTGCAGCACTGAACAACCTCCCCAAAGCTGCGAAGTGAGTGGGCGGCCAGTTTTCTACAGCCGCGTGCAACATCACTCCACATTGGTGAGACTGTCACCGGAACCTGCCAGACACTGATGTCAGATACTACTTTTGCGCTGTCCATCACGCACGTCCGAAAGATTGAAGGGACACCATGTCAAGTCCTTGTGACGTGTTTCTTGCGCTGCAGCTATTTGCCATTTGCACTTGCCAGCTTGAAGTCTGCTTGCCCACAGCGAATAGCCAAGGGGCGCCTGCAATTGATGACTTGCAAGCCCTACAGAGCAGGTTTGCGCAGCTCAGCCTATAGTTTTGCTGCGCCGAGCATGCATGACATGGAGCTTCGGCGATCTTTAGTTCAAGAAGCTCGCAGTTCTGATCAAACAGGATCTAAGCGTTTCTGGTGATTGGTAGAAGAGTTTGGCCTCCAAAGGATCTGAAGATAGTGCGGCAGTCCCGTTTCGCATGCGCGGACCGCCATCTTGGAAAAGGTTCAACTTGTGAGCCTTGACTTGCTTTCAGCTCCAAGCCGATACATCTTTGACATGAGAAGTTGCAGTTGCTGTTTGCTACAGCATTCCTGCCCAGTCTGACACCAGCTTGCCAGTTTGCTTCGTTCAATCTTCCCACGTCCATTGAAGTGCAAATGGCGAGGTTGCATTGCTCAATTGCCCCTCGATTGCTTGGCCATAGGTAAGCAATAGCATCGCATAATTGTGTCTAGGCTTTTACAGCTGCCTTTTGTTTGCTTGATCATCAGCCGCGCAGTTCGCAAAGGCACCTAGAGCATGGCAGTTGCCATCCACAGCCATGTGTGCGCCTTCGAAGCTTCCGATCGGGAGTGAATCTCTCCGAAGCCAAGAGTGCTTTTGCATGTAAAATCGCCCTGTGAGGTTGTTCAAAGCTCGTTTCAAAGATTGGTTCCACGCCCTGTGACGGAGTTGTCGGCCCAGCGCCAAGCCGGTGAGACAGGCTCCTTCGCTTTCGCAACGCAAGCTTCGGGTGGTAGTGGCCGAGCCGTCAGGATGAAAGTCTTGAGTTTAGAATGAAGTTGTGGAGAGCATGCCGTTCGTGTGCCATCGATGCTTGGCTTTGCGCGACGTTTGAGGTTGCACAGGCTGTCTACAAAGTGCGTCGCTGCCGAACACAGCCTCGTCATTTGGCTGCAAGATCAGCGCCACGCGTTGCATTTGCTTTCGGAAGCAGAAACTTTACAAGCATTGCTGTCACATGGGCCATTCCTTTGCTGCACTGCAAAATGCGTGTGGACAGAGTCAAAGGGCTGGTAAGCTTGGGCGGGTTTGTGAGCAAGAGCCCGCTCGGAATTGCAAAGGGCTTTCCCACGCTGCAGTTTCAGCGCACTCACACGCACATTGCCACGTTGCAGCTGAGATGCCAAAGGCCCAGATTCGGAAGTTGAGAAGCATTAGGCTTGCAAGGACAGGATGGAAAGGATGGAAACGAAGACACAAGCGTCCAGCAGCCAGTTTCCTACAGCCGTGTCCAACATCACTCCACATCGGTGAGACTGTCACCGGAACCTGGCAGACACTGATGTCAGATACTACTTTTGCGCTGTCCATCACGCACGTCCGAAAGATTGAAGGGACACCATGTCAAGTCCTTGTGACGTGTTTCATGCGCTGCAGCTATTTGCCATTTGCGCTTGCTAGCTTGAAGTCTGCTTGCCCACAGCGAGTAGACAGGGTTGGAAGGCAACTTTGTGTATTGCGCTGCTTGGCCGTCCAAGCCGAATTGCAATCCATTGATGGCGAGAGTATTGGACCAAGCATTGGGTTGCCCCATGCAAACTGCATCCAGTGGAGTTGGTTTGGTGGGAGACAACTCTGCCTCCAAACCCTACCAAGTGGCGCTGCGGCTTGAGCAGGTCCTCAGTTTGCATCGCGTCACCAAGCCAACTCAGCTGACTATGCCGCTGTTGCCTCGATCCAAGCCCAGCAAGGTCCCGTTCTGCTTTGTGCTATCTTGTTGCTCCAGGATAGCGCTGCTTGCTGCGATGCAGCGTTTCACATGCTCAGACCTAGTGACACGCGCGAGGTGACGCGTATGACATTCCGAGTTCAAGTAGCTCAATTGGTTCAAGTAGTTCAAGTGCACACGCCACGTCGGATACAAAGCGCTTGCCGGTTCCAGTGCCGGGGTGTTTCATGTTCGACGCTTGCGAGCCTTGAGCTGTTTGCGAGCCTTGCGGGTTTCTACTTGGCTCTTGTGTCGCCAAAGTGCTGTGCTCCTTCAGATTAAACTGCGCACTGTCCGAAGGACTCGAGCTTGCCCCGATTGCTAGTACCAGAGAAGCTTGGGGGCAGAGGCTTCACGTGGCTTCAGTTTGGTTAATGCAAAAGCATCGCCGTCACATGTTTGGCGCAGCCTTGGTGGCCATGGCAAGAACATTTGCATGCCCAGTGATGCCAACATCAGGGATATGTGATTCCAGTCTTAGCATTGTGGCAGACTTGGTGCATGGGTATGGATTGCGCTTGCCCCGCTTGAGTCTTGTTGCGAAAAGCCACGCTGCGTGTTGCCATCCGGCGTTTGTGCTTGCTAGCTTGAAATCCGCGCGGGTTCCAAGCATCTAAGCCTGCGTCAGTCAAATGTGGCAGACTTTGGGGACAGCCAGATAATGTGTTCAGACCCGCGCATCAGCAATCTGCCAGAACAAGCTTGGTCTGGGAGCATGGGGCAGAGGCTTCACGGCTGTGATTCAGTTTACTTGACGCCAAAGCATCGCCGTCACATGTTTGGTGCAGCCTGGGTGGACATGGCAAGAAGATTTGCATGCCCAATGTCGCCCACAGCAGGATGTTGTTTGCCAGAGGACGGCCAGCAATTGCCGGAACAACCGTGGCATCACTAGATGCCGCTGTTTGCCCTTGGTGATCCTGTATGTGATTCCAGTCTTAGCATTGTGGCAGACTTGGTGCATGGGTGTGGATTGCGCTTGCCCCGCTTGAGTCTTGTTGCGAAAAGCCACGCTGCGTGTTGCCATCCGGCGTTTGTGCTTGCTAGCTTAAAATCCGCGCGGGTTCCAAAGCATCTAAGTCTGCGTCAAATGTGGCAGTCTTTTGGGACAGCCAGATAATGTGTTCAGACCCGCGCATCAGCAATCTGCCACAACAAGGTTGGTCTGGGCGCATCGGGCAGAAGCTTCACGGCTGTGATTCCGTTTACTTGACGCCAAAGCATCGCCGTCACATGTTTGGTGCAGCCTGGGTGCACATGGCAAGAAGATTTTCATGCCCAATGCCGCCCACTTCAGGGGCATCACCAGATGCCGGTGTTTGCCCTTGGTGATCCTGTATGTGATTCCAGTCTTGGCATTGTGGCAGACTTGGTGAATGGGTATGCATTGAGCTTGGCCCGCTTGAGTGTTGTTCCCAGGCTGGAGCCTCTACAGTATGGCAACTTGCGGTATGCGGCTATCCTTGCATGTCTCTCAGGAAATTACGTGTGAGCTGGCCATGCTCACGAAGCAAGGTCTCCGTAGGGTGAAGCCTGCAACAAATCCAGCAGCCTTCCGCAATGCGAATCTTTGCCCCTCACACCAATGCCAATCTTGACAAAACGGCAATTGGCCACGCTGGTTACAAATCCATCATACAGCAGGAGTCCCACTCAGGTGAATGTACACTGGTGGCTTTGCAGCGTGGAACAGCTGCTTGACAGCTCGGCATTCGAGATGCGCCATGTTGGTGTTTCACTTAGGCCGTTCCTGTCTCAGCCTTGACGAGTGACATTGAGTCACCGAGACAAAGTTGCAATCGCCCAGCAAGACTTGTCCAAGATCAAAAGCAGACTCATTTACAGACTCCTTACACCTTCCCAATTGCAATGTGTTTTCAATCATCCCAAGCACGAAAAGAGGAAACCATGCAAAAGAACAACGCCTTTTGCAAGCAGGCTATTGGGTCTTGGTACTCGAACAGCATGGCTCGGCCGTCCGTGAAACAACCAGTCAAGCGAGTTCGAATCAAACCTTCCCCAAGGCCAAAGAAGCTCAACCTGGCTAGCGGCCTTGGTTTTGGATTTAGAAAGCGTCCATCTTTCAAGATGGAACAAAACCTGGAGAAGATGCGCAAGTTGGCAGTCCACTTCCAGCCCGAGTTTCTCGCTTGAGCTGAAAAGTCGTGGGATCGGCTAACTCAGACCTTACCACGACAGCAATACACTCAACTCGCAGTCCCAGACCCAGAAGTCAGAGGCTGTGCTCAGGCGATGCCTCGAAAGTTTCAGACGCCTCAAAAGTCTCGAGTGCGGCGTACGCGCCTGTGCTCGAGCTATAGACTTTTACACACAAGCTTGCCTCGAACAAAGCAATTCCCAAGCTCCAAACAGGTTCTACAATTGTTCAATGCTCGATTGCCACAATCAACTGTTCTCGCTTGGCAAGTGCAGAGTGACACTTCACTTTGCATTGCACAGAATCTATGATGGAATCTGCGTGATTCCACCCTGTCGCTTGTGGCATTGAAGACTCGATGCCGACTCAGAGCACCTGTGCAAATTTTATCGAAGGGCAGATCGTGGCTTCTCGGAGCACTTAAGCTGCAGAAAGCTTAAAATCGGAGGTTGCTTGGACCTGCATGGCCGTTTGAATGCTTGCAGGCTACGCAGTTGCAGCATCAGGTTGCATGAGGAAAGGATTCTTCAAGGATGCAAGCGTTGCTTGTAAAACGATTTCACCAACTTGAATCAGACATGTCATGGCTGGTTTGCATTGTCGCTGAGCCTGCGTGGTGTTGCAGACATGTTCATTCAAGTCTTGCAGTGCAAAGTCTGCTGTGCTTCCTCGCTTGAACCAAGACTGAGAACCTCCAAACAGGTGCCAGGTTGTTGGCCAGCCATGCTCGCTTGCCGCAATCAGGTTTCTCTTGGCAAACGCAGAGTGATTCACAGAATCTATGCGATTCCACCCCGCCGCTTGCAGCATTGAACACTTGCTGCCCACTCAGAGCACCCTGTTCAGTTGAGCTACCGAAAGCTTGAGAGTGGGAGGCCGCTTGGTCCGGATTGTATCTCGCAAAGATCCCATTGTGCAAACTGACGGTGCTTTGGTGAGCTGCCAAGCCAGAGCAGGGAACGGGCGTGGGTTGTGCATTTGATGAAGCAAAGCCGCTCACGCTGAAGGTAACCTCAACGTAGCACCATCGCCGCATCGCCGCTTTTCTGGCTTTGGCAAGGAAGTGTCGAAATCTCTAACACTGCTTGCTTTGTTGCTGCTTGTACCTTGTGCTCCAGTGCACGAAGATTCCTTGGAATGCTGGTGGGCAAACTCAGAGTGTGGCGGCTGCGGCTGGTGGGATATCTATCCACTAGTTTTGCTGGAACAAGCGCTACATGAACCTCGCTCTACACCTCAGTTTGCTGAGGCGTCGTTTTTTCGTCCAGTCTCAAATTGTTGACTGTCGGGGTGAATTTGCTAGAGGAACCCCCTGAATCTATCTCTCTTTGTTTTTGATTGTTATCTTTTGTGTTGCAAGTGTTCCCGAAAAATATTTCAAATCAGAGCACGTAAACCTTTTTGCCTGGAACTGACGGCGGCCCCGATGTTCTATCTAAGCATCTTGCGGAGTAATAGGGGAGGTAGCAGCTGCTATTGTTGGAGTGGGAGAAGGTCCCAGCGTGATAGACCGCTCGTGAGGGCCGACCGCAAATCATAGTCAAATACAATAGAAGAGCCCCCCTAAAAGCGGGCCCTCCTGCCTGCCTTAGCTTCCAATCCGGCATACAAAAAAGAAATAGGGCCCGGTACCTTAATGGTGTTTCGTTTTGTGGATTTCGTATTTTGGCCGAGTTGGTTGTGTTGTGATCCGAGTCGGGTTTTCTTTGTTTCTTTGAGGCGGCGGGTGGCAGCGGCTCTGGAGCTGCAGCAGCGAACGTGAAAAAAAAAACAAACTAGACGACGAGTGGCCCGGAAGCATAGAGGCAAGTTGATGCAGGTGAGGTAACTCTCGCACAGTTAGCATGAGGAGTTGGCAGGCCAAGCAATTCTCAAAAAGTTGGCATGAGAAGCTGGCAGGTTAAGTAACTCTCGAATAGTTGGCTGGCAAAGTTGGCGGGTGAAGTAATTCTCGCAAAGTTGACATGAGAAGTTGGCAGGCGAAGTAACTCAAGAGAAAAGTTGGCATGAGAAGTTGGCAGATGAAATAACTCTCAAAGAGTTGGCATGAGAAGTTGGCAGGTGAAGTAACTCTCGAAAAGTTGGCGTGAGAAGCTGGCAGGTGAAGTAATTCTCGAAAAGTTGGCACGAGAAGATGGCGCGTGAAGTAACTCTCGAAAAGTTGGCGTGAGAAGCCGGCAGGTGAAGTAACTTTCGAAAAGTTAGCATGAGAAGTTGGCAGGCGAAGTAGTTCTCGAAAAGTTGGCGCGAGAAGTTGGCAGGCGAAGTAACTCTCGAAAAGT